AGAGCCAGAGTGTTGGGATAAAAAAAGCAACAATAATAAGATGGAATAAAACTAGTAATAAAATAATAGGAATAATGAAGAGTGTATAGAGCCAGAGTGTTGGGATAAAAAGCAATAATAATACGATGGAATAAAACTAGTAATAAAATAATAGTAATAATGAAGAGTGTATAGAGCCAGAGTGTTGGGATAAAAAGCAACAATAATAAGATGGAATAAAACTAGTAATAAAATAATAGTAATAATGAAGAGTGTATAGAGCCAGAGTGTTGGGATAAAAAAGCAACAATAATAAGATGGAATAAAACTAGTAATAAAATAATAGTAATAATGAAGAGTGTATAGAGCCAGAGTGTTGGGATAAAAAGCAATAATAATACGATGGAATAAAACTAGTAATAAAATAATAGTAATAATGAAGAGTGTATAGAGCCAGAGTGTCGGGATAAAAAGCAACAAAAATAAGATCGAATAAAACTAATGACCTAAAACTGCAACGATCCTTAATTAATTGAAGGATGCCGGACTTAACTCTCGTCGATCAATAAAGAAGTTGATTTTAGAAGGATAGAAAAAATGTTTACTTTTTATTTTAGATTTAATTCTAAGATATACATTTTCCAGTAATATCACATTCCGAAACGTAAAACATATCGAAATAGCTTACACAGATTGCTATGAAATTTGTTTCTTAAGAACAATCTGTTGTTAACTGGGGCAAGAAATGGCGTGTTAATTTTAACGCCTCCAAAGTGAAACTGCTAACTTTTAATTGCCTTAGAGAACATTTTTCCTTCCATCAGCATGGCTGATGCTAACCTACAGATGAGTGACTCATTGTGCCCGCCCGAACTAAAATCTTTCATTGCCGTAGTGGAAAAATTATACTGAATCTATTGCTAGGTCTGCTGCTAGTGAAGTTGATTCAAAGTATCGTGCTAGACAATCTTACACGCCAGAATCTATTTTACATATCTATCATTCATCCACGCTTTGAATATTGCTTTTTACATCTAGTCTGGGGGTTCTGGTTATGTATTTAGGGATTCTTGATAAAATCCAAAATATAATCTGTCATTTTATCGGTCCTGACCTGGCATCTCAAATTCAGTCACTTTCACATCATCGCAACATCTGCCTTTTCTATAAATATTTTCTTAGTAATTATTCTGATGAACTTTCCTCTTTGGTACATCGACTGTACGAATTTAAGTGCAGTAATAGATTGGCAGCTAGGTCTCATGATTTTACAGTTGAAATGGCGAGATGTAACCGTAAGTTCTATGCTAACAGTTTCTTCTCTTACACTTCTCGCTAGTGGAACTCTCGACCGGCTTTTTGCTTCCGAGTGAATTTTGATTTTCAAGAATGTAAATGCAATATCAATCGTTATTTTCTGACTTATTAATTCCTGTTATTTTATTATCTTTCTCAATAATTTTATTTTTATTTTTCTCATATTGTTTCACACTTAGTAACCCCTAACGTTTTAATTGCTTCATTGAGTCGTTTGGAGTGAAATTAAAAAAGAAGTACACGGAATTTAAAAAATATTGCCGCAGGTGGAGAATGCCGTTTTTTTAAAATTTTTTTTTTTTAATTTAATTGTTTTTAATTTTTAATTTTTTTTTATTTTATATATTTTAATTTTTTTTATTTTTATATATTTTATTTTATTTTTTTTAATTTTAATTTTTTTTTGCCATCCCTCTTTGTCTCTGCTTTGCTATCCTCTTTTTACTTTTCTTTTTTGATATGCCATGTATTACCTGGATATGGCCGATCATGGCTCTCTACGACATCCTTTTTTTTGCTCTAAGTAGCTTTTAACTATTTTCCCTGTTCTACCATCCTCAAGCCACTACTATTTCTCTTACCCCAAGTATTTTCTGGCTATAGGTGAGCATGGCTCTCCACAACTTCCAGGCTTTTGTCGCACTAAGTAATTTTTTACCAAACCCTCTTTGGGATTGTTCTGCCATCCAGTTGCTTTTATTTTTATATGCCGTGTCCTATAAAGACGTGGGTGTTCATGGCTCTTCACAATTTCTTTTTTTGTTGCATTAAGTAAATGTTAACTCTTTCCATCCCTATTTATAGCTCTTCTGTCATCCATAGTCTCCTTTTTATGTAATATTTTTCATGACGCCAGTGGTAATGGCTCTCCACAATGTCCTATTTTTTGCAGTTTTAAGTAATTTTTAATCATGCACCACCCTTCTTTGTCCTAGTCTTCATATGCTTCTCTATTTATGTGCTCTCTTTGTATAAGTGGGCGATTATGACTCTCCCCAACATCCTGTCTATTCTTGCACAAAATAGCTTTTAATTCTTTTTCATCTCGTTATGTCCCTATTCTGCCAGCCAGACACCTATTTTTTAGGTCATGTCTTTTCAGGACCCGGACGAACATGGCTCTCCACAAACTTCCTTTCCGTTTTGCTTTAAATAAATTTTAACTCTTTACCGTCCCTCTTGGCCCATGTTCTGTCACCGACATGAGTCTTCTTTAATATGCTAACTCCTTTCATGACTTGGGCATTCATAATTCTCCACATCTTCTCATCTTTTTTTTGTGTAACTTTTAGCTATTTGTAATCGCACTTTAATGTCTGTTCTGCCATCCACATTTGTCATTTTCAGTTATATGCCATGTCGTTTGCGGATGTGGGAAATCATAGCTCTCCACAACTTCCTGCGATCCATTTACGCCTTCATTAAATTGATTACTTACTGCTTTATGTTCGGTGAGTGTTTAGTTTTCTAGGTCTTCTTTTCTCATTATGCGTCCCAGAATTTGCATATGTCTCTTTCTAATTGAGGCTTGCGGCCACATCTCGTTGAAACATGGGTTAGGGTACGATCGCCAAATTTAAGGAACGGTCTCTACCTAGATGGACGAGCGTTTGGGAATACCAGTTGCAGTGGACTTGAATGTGCCGGTGGGTTAATGGATAATGTCTCAGAATTGTTAATCAGAGAGCCGAGTTCCAATTCCAGTTGTGTTCGTTATATTCAGTTACGTGAAACACCCTTGAGAAAAGGCATGAAAACGCATCTCCCCCAGCTATGGGTTAAATAGTAAGACTTGTATCTAAAAAAAAAAAAATAGATAACTAAATAGAATTTCGCACAAAATATTTAGATTTTGGCATAGAGGTTGATATGCCGCTAAACAAAAACAAGCAACCACCCGACACGCAAGCCGCTAGTGGCCCGCTGTCCGGCCGCCGATGGCAACGCCAAAAGTTCCTCTGGTGGCAGCCAACGGCAAACCACCAGCGGGCCGATGGTGGGCAGCTAGCGGTCCGCCAGTGGTAGCATTACCAAGACGAACACGCCGGCGGTACGAGAGCGGGACACCGGCGATAAACGTTCGTGGCATGGCACCCAGTGGCTGATTAGTGGCTTGCGTCGTGTTGGTTGTAACTTTTAAGTTAAATTTCAATTCCCATTTTTATTTCTACCAGTTTTTATTACACTTTATTCCAGTTCTTAGGGAATTTTCACAGTGAAAAAATATGAGGTGGAGTTATAAGTAAAATTTAGTTTTGGGGGAACCAATTCTTATGACAAATGCAACGTCTTAATTACTAATCCTAATTGACAGTTAAGACAAAATTTCGAGTACACTCACTAACGACAATGTTCAAGACTTTGGATTGACAGGATCCATAGCCGCTTTGGTAAACGAGCTACTTGTCGGCTTCAGAAAATATAACTGAATGAAATGTAGTTGGATTTTATTTTTTGGAAGAATGAAGTTAGTAAAGAAAACGGAAGTTATTTATGACATGCTAAAAGTGGAATGAGTCGAAAAACTGTAAAAGACACCAGGCGAAAAATAAATATAATGTAGTGGGTTTGGGGAATTAGAAAGTTAAGAGAGAGATGGCAGATGTATTTTATTTATATTTAAATCGAACAAGAATGTAGTGTATGTACTTTTTATTAGGAGGTATCTTCATTTTTGAGAAGCATTTTTATCGGAGAAAACACGACCGGAAACCGAGATTTACGGACCAACGAGAATAACATAGAAAATATGGAAAAAAAAACCCCAAAATGACAGGACTGATTAAGGAAGCAGCAGAAGTAATGTGAAAAGCGAACGGAATTGACAATAACAAAAAGAGATCGCTGCAACTGTTGAGAAAGAAAAAAAATATTGGCTCAAAAACTAAGATAAAAAAAAAGAAAATCAAGAATCAGTTTCTAATACACAAAAGAATGAAAAAAGAAAAAAAAAGATTGCTTTGAGAAAAGTAAAACAAGCTATCAGTAAAGAACTTGAAACATGCTCGATCTGCAGCTCACGTAGATAAAACAAAAACACACCCTTACATAGAGAGAGAGAAACGAAAAATAGCTAAATTTATGGACAAGATGTTATGATAACCGAGAAGTACTATGCAAACGTGTAAGATTCGAAAACAAAAAAAAATCCGACAGACAGACGAGATAATGGGGTAACTAAAAAAACGTGAAGTGTGAAAACACACCAGGCGAAGATGGCATAGTAACAGACCTTTGGAAAGATGCAGAACATATCTACAACGGTTTCGCACGGTGATTTACCTCATATATACAAAATATAAATTTACATACTCTGGAATAGGAAATTTATTTTATGAAAAAGTTATTGTCAAACATACATAAAAAAAAAACACTTTTCACGTTTAAAATCTGAAAGGTAGCGATCGGTTTCCTTTGCACTAAAGTCAAGAAGGTAGATATAGGTTCAGATTATACTACAATCAAAGAGGTATACATTCGTCCAGTTTATTCTTGAGGTGAAAAGTAGGCGTGGGTCTGATTTACACTAGAATTTAAATGGTAGACATAGGTACTATTTAAAGTCAAAAAAGTTCTGTTTATACGAAACTCAAATTTAAACTCAGGTTTTGGTTAGATTAAGCATTCTGTATTGTTTCGGTAATAAGTTAGAAAGAGAAAAATTTGAAATTGTTGAAAATTTTTTGTCGGATATCAATCCAAAGGAAGTCGTCATTATTTTTCTTTGCTCTATCTATCTATCTATCTATCTATCTATCTATCTATCTATCTCAATCTGTTCATATCTATCTATCTATCTATCTATTCATATCTATCTATCTATCTATCTCAATCTGTTCATATCTATCTATTTATTATCTACCTATCTCAATCTGTTCATATCTATCTATCCATCTGTTTATTATCTATCTATCTATGTTTATTATCTACCTATCTCAATCTGTTCATATCTATCTATCTATCTATCTATCTATCTATCTCAATCTGTTCATATCTATCTATCTATCTATCTATCTATCTATCTATCTATCTAATTATCCTCAATCACTTCTGACCAATGTTTGTAAGGATTCCATATCTCCACCCGGTTCTTCTTTTCTACTTCCGGTGTCATCTCTGAGTTGACTGATGGAAGTTCATGCTGGTTAACCTTTTGATCCTTTGCCATAATTTAGATCGCAAAACCTGCTGTTTACTTCCCCAGCAATAGACACTAACCCTAACCCTTCACAGAACGTGTCTGTATTGTCTGGTCGCTTTCCACTTTAGTTCATCGTTGCGCATATCTCATTACCAGCTGATATTTAGCGCTTCATCGAAGTGATTAAACGGCGGGATTGAGTGCGGGTGGACGACAGGGCGCAGTAAGAAGAAAGGGTAACAGGTGAAACAAAAATTTGCAGAAGATAAGAAACACTCTAAGGCAAGACCAGGTGAAATCGGAGAGAATGGGCAGAGGAAGTGGCCGATATGATACGCCATAGAAATGCACCGTTATCGTCGTCATGAAAATAGTTGGCAAATCAACTTGATCCAAATGGGAAATTTCATCAGAACAATTACCATGGAAATATTCGCAGAAAAGGCACAGGGAAGCAAAGTTCTAGTTTACCATAACTCTATTCAGTTCGGTCTTTCTGATTTCGATCCTGATCATGATTTGATCAATGAAGGTTCTTTGCTGGTCGACCTCAATCCCGATCCCATAGTATAAACTGATGTACAATTTCCTGTTTACGTCTCCAGCCTGTTCATATCTATCTATCTATCTATCTATCTATCTACATCTGTTCAGATCTATCTATCTAAAGTCGTTTATTTTCTATCTATCTATCTAAAGTCGTTTATTTTATATCTATCTAAAGTCGTTTATTTTATATCTATCTATCTATCTATCTATCTATCTAAAGTGGTTTATTTTCTATCTATCTAAATCTGTTCAGATCTATCTAAAATCGTTTATTTTCTTTCTATCTATCTATCTAAAGTCGTTTATTTTATATCTATCTATCTATCTATCTATCTATCTCTGTTCAGATCTATCTATCTAAAGTGGTTTATTTTCTATCTAAATCTGTTCAGATCTATCTAAAGTCGTTTATTTTCTATCTATCTATCTATCTATCTAAATCTGTTCAGATCTATCTAAAGTCGTTTATTTTCTATCTATCTATCTATCTATCTAAATCTGTTCAGATCTATCTATCTCAAGTCGTTTATTTTCTATCTATCTAAATCTATTCAGATCTATCTATCTCAAGTCGTTTATTTTCTATCTATCTATCTATCTATCTATCTCTGTTCAGATCTATCTATCTAAAGTGGTTTATTTTCTATCTATCTAAATCTGTTCAGATCTATCTAAAATCGTTTATTTTCTTTCTATCTATCTATCTATCTATCTCTGTTCAGATCTATCTAAAGTCGTTTATTTTCTATCTATCTATCTATCTATCTATCTATCTATCTATATCTGTTCAGATCTATCTAGTCGTTTATTTTCTATCGTTTATCTAAAGTCGTTTATTTTCTATCTATTCATTCATCTATCTATATCTGTTCAGATCTATCTAAAGTCGTTTATTTTCTATCTATCTATCTATCTATCTATCTATCTATCTATCTATATCTGTTCAGATCTATCTAAAGTCGTTTATTTTCTATCTATCTATCTATATCTGTTCAGATCTATCTAAAGTCGTTTATTTTCTATCTATCTATCTATCTATCTATATCTGTTCAGATCTATCTAAAGTCGTTTATTTTTTCTATCTATCTATCTATCTATCTATATCTGTTATCTATAAATCTGTTTATTTTCTATCTATCTATCTAGTCGTTTATCTATTTCTATCTATCTAAATCTGTTCAGATCTATCTATCTCAAGTCGTTTATTTTCTATCTATTAAATCTATTCAGATCTATCTATCTCAAGTCGTTTATTTTCTATCTATCTATCTATCTATCTATCTATCTATCTATCTATCTATCTCAATCTGACGATAAACTACATCCGCGTCCTGGGTAAGACGATAAACTACGTCCATCAGCATGGCTTCTGATCAGGAGGTTTTGAAGAGCGTGGAACCACCTCTTAATTGCTGGTGTTTCCAGCTCCACCCTGGCCCGGGGTGGTAGCAACTGTTAGCGTCTCAGCCATTGGCAAATAGTCAACACCCAAACTTGTGTAAAAATAGGTTTTAATACCAGAAATACATTGTAATAAAAAAAATATTACCAGCAATAAATTTTGAAAGAAAAATTATTACCAGCAATACTTTAAAACAAAATACCAGCAATACAAACAGCTACATATTCTTTGAAAAATAGGACCAATTATAGATTTCTTCAAGGAAAAATATTCCCAGAAATAGATTTTTGAAGCAAAACATATTACTAGGAATAAGAATTTTGTCGGCATTATATAACCCATTGAGGTTCATTTGCCGTAAAACAAAACAAAACAAACCAAAATCTCACTATCTATCTGCTTCAATCTGTTCAAAGCTTTCTTAATCTATCTATCTATCTATCTATCTATCTATCTATCTATCTATCTATCGTCAGGCCTATTCATAAACACACTAAAGTCAACATGAATTCCCATAAAACATTAACGCTGGTGATTACACAACACACCATGTTGTTTTTTGACAGTACTCTTAAGTGTTGTGGGTTATTTTAAACACAATATCACTAGAGTCTGTCTATATTTCTGAGATGAGGTATTATGTACAGTATTTACATTAGTCGGACTATTGTCCTCATCTTTGTCGCCATATTTGTCACAACGTTTCGGCCGTTGTACGCTCCGGCCTTCTTCATGGCACAGTGGATAAAGGCGTTGGTTAGATCCAGTGACAGACCCAAAGAATGTGAGTTCAATACCCGGTTAAGGCAGTGGAGAACTTTTAGAGGGAAAATTAGCAGGAGATAACTGATAACTGATATCCATCAAACATGGCACGTGGAACTAAAACAGTCTACCCCAGTGAGCGAAATAAAGGGTTCCGTTCGAAATTCCAACTATTGCTTCGGTGAAAAAAAATAAAAAAAATAAAACCACGCTCGCTGCTACTTCCGACGTGAAACATATCTGTTTACCTTCCATTCTACGTCATTGATAACGGTCGCTACTAGCGTCTTGTGTATTGGTTAACGAGCAAAAGCAGTCACTTTTAACACTACGTTGCAAAAGAAAAAAAATCGCAAGAGACTGACATATTTACAAAAAACCCCCAAAAAACCGTGCCTGGTGGCAAAATCTGCTGGTGGCGTCAGGGGTGGCAGTACCGCCTTAGCCACCGAAACTGACGAGGACAGGGTATCGCACGTGCTTTCACATGTAGAAAAATAATAATGTGGGTTATTTCTTTAGTATAATTATGTCTTTATGGAATCTGTCTTTACCAAATCTACTATATAGTATTTTGGTATTATCTACCAATATTTGTTTTATGCTAATAATACTATTTTGGTTGTATTTTGGTTGTTCTTGATAAGTTAGAAACAAATGTAGGACTTGGCACTAAACCCCATTTTCGTGAATGTTTTGGAGAGAAGGGATGTGCATTGTTATTTGTCAGCCGTTTAAGACACTGAAGCAAAAAAGAAAATTCTTAGATCAGTCAAGAATGTAAATAATATGACAAAGTGACTGAGACTTTCGCATTAAACTAATAATTGGGGGCCAAACGAGTTTTACTTGATTTCTTTGCCCCAAGCGCAAACGGACGTGAGTGAAATCAGTTCACAATCGACGAGGGGGAAATCTGAGCGACTTTGAAATGAATCATGCCTGTAGCCAATGTGTCATGTAAGCGGGAGTTGTCTACGAATTCTATCTCAGCCCGATCACACAAGACTGTCTTCTAAGAGTACGGATAATTAGGTCATCTGCTTCCTTTTTAGAATACCAACCATTCATTAACTCGCAAATCATCTTTTCGTTCAACAATAGTTCATATATATATATATATATATATATATTTATTAAAGACATTTTTATTTATGTTTAACGTTGTTATTTTTATAGATACAAGTATTTAAGCAAATGCTCTGTTTATGATAAACAGTATTAAATAACATTTACCGGCCTGAATGTCCGAGAAATTTTCATAGAAAATATTCGTTCATAGACAGGATTCGAACCTGCATCCTATATGGAACCGCCATATACGCTGGCGTGCCTTGACCACTCGGCCACCATGAACCTTATGGTAGACAAGGTCGAATTTACTGTTATAAACTACAATCTTCCATGAATCTCGTACATTCATAACTGCTCTGGCGTATCGAATGTAAACAAATGACGTCATATGTTAAGAAATGGACGAGGTCCGACAATTTATTTATTAAAGACATTTTTATTTATGTTTAACGTTGTTATTTTTATAGATACAAGTATTTAAGCAAATGCTCTGTTTATGATAAACAGTATTAAATAACATTTACCGGCCTGAATGTCCGAGAAATTTTCAGAAAATATTCGTTCACAGACAGGATTCGAACCTGCATCCTATATGGAACCGCCATATACGCTGGCGTGCCTTGACCACTCGGCCACCATGAACCTTATGGTAGACAAGGTCGAATTTACTGTTATAAACTACAATCTTCCATGAATCTCGTACATTCATAACTGCTCTGGCGTATCGAATGTAAACAAATATAAATATAAAAATAACAACGTTAAACATAAATAAAAATGTCTTTAATAAATAAATTGTCGGACCTCGTCCATTTCTTAACATATGACGTCATTTGTTTACATTCGATACGCCAGAGCAGTTATGAATGTACGAGATTCATGGAAGATTGTAGTTTATAACAGTAAATTGACCTTGTCTACCATAAGGTTCATTGAGTGGTCAAGGTACGCCAGCGTATATGGCGGTTCCATATAGGATGCAGGTTCGAATCTCTGTCTATGAACGAATATTTTTTATGAAAATTTCTCGACATTCAGGCCGGTAAATGTTATTTAATACTGTTTATCATAAACAGAGCATTTGCTTAAATATTTGTATCTATAAAAATAACAACGTTAAACATAAATAAAAATGTCTTTAATAAATAAATTGTCGGACCTCGTCCATTTCTTAACATATATATATATATATATATATATATATATATGTGTATATATATATATGTATATATATATATGTATATATATATATATATATGTGTAAGCAAATGTAAATGGATATAGATCCGACAGAATGAAGAAAAATTTGGGCGACGCTTTCAAAATAATCAAAAATTTTTAGGAATACGTTTTGAAAGCGTCGCCCATGTGACGACAACGTGACCATGCTAAACGGAAAGCTGATCATTTTAAAAATTTTCAGTTATCTGTTTTGGATAAGACTTGTTGTTTATGTCCATCGTCTTTGTCAAATTGAACTGAATTGTATTTTAATGAATATTGTCTTGAAAAAGGTTTATTAAACCGAAAACGCCAGACGTCGACATTTCATTCATTTTAAACAACATAATTGCATTTAAGGATTTTTGTTTGTTTTTCCAAATTTTTCTTCATATATATATATATATATATATATATGTATATATATATTTTTTTTTTTTTTTTTTTTTTTCAAGCGTTTCACCCCAAGCAAGGCGGGAAGCCACTAGGATGCAAGGGGTTACAGGAAATAGCTAGATCAGATAGGAGTGAAGGATGACGGTAGTGGATAGATTAAGGCGACTGGAGATGGCGATTGACATTACATTTGAATAGCTGGAGATTATAGCTCACAGGGAAACAGGAGAAGGGAAGGGAGTTCCACAGGCGAGAGGTGCGAGACATGAAGCTATTAGAGTAGAAGAGACGGCTACACTTAGGAGTTTCGACAGTGAGGGGGTGAGAGCGGGATGCCAGCCTCGTATATCTATATATATGTATATATATATATATATATATGGATAAATAAGTAATTAACCCTTCACTAATACATTTACTACTACTACTATTATTATTATTATTATTATTATCATTATTATTGCTGCTGCTGCTGTTGTTGATTAAATTGGATATATTGAGTTTTGTATAGAATATAATTAATTTCATTTTTTCCAGACTCTGCGGTTGATATATTAGTATTTACTATTTTTTTAAAGTTATTTTCGTCCTTTTTATAATTAGAATTTATTTGATTGCGATATAAAACATTAATATATTTAGGATAATTTGATGAAGTTGTATATTCTATTTGTTTTATATTTAAAATTCAATTAGACCGCCTTATTTGGTTCGCCGATAACATAATTAGGGAAATGATTATTAATAAGAGCTTCTTTTATATTTTTGTTCATTGTAGAAAATCTATTTTGCAGATGAGTAAATTTTTGCATGGTTTATTACGTATTTTATAATTGATATCTTAAACTAATTTGAACATTCACTCATATAGTTAAGAGTGCACGAATTTATGCAAGTAGTTTTTCTTTTATATGAGGAGATAGTGAAATTATTATTATTAGTGTTTATATAGAAAAGGAATTTTATTTAATTTATTAGTATTATTATTTTATTTAATTTATTAGTGTATATCTAGAAAAGGAATTTTATTATTATTAAGTTCGTATGTGAATTTAAGGACAGAGTTATTTTGGAAATGTTTCTAGAGTTTATATATTTCATACATATTCTTGACTAAGATAAGGTTTCCTCTAGTAAAATAATTAATAAAAAGAAAGAATATGAAATGGCTTTAGAAGAAGACGGACATAAAATCAAATTAAACCTCAAATAAAACAAAAAAATTTTTTTAAAATTCGAGGAAAAGAAAAAATATTATTTGGTTTAACCAAGCTTTTAACTTAGAGGTCAAATATAAAGTAGGGAAAATATTTTTCAAATGACTTAATAAACACTTCCACAAAAACTCCGAATTACATGAGATGTTTAATAAAAACACAGCCAAATTAAACTAATTTAGAAACCACATGAAAAACGACAAAAAATTCAAAACCAACGTGCAGCAAAACATTGTCAGCAGTAATAAATGCAATTGTAGAAATAAAAGCAGATGTCCATTAGATGGAGTTTGAGGGTAACTTTAAAAAGTGGTGGTACAATCATAAGTCATCTTTTAAGCAATAAAACCTCAGAAATTCTACTAAATTCGCTAACCATCTGGGGAAATTAAAGGAGAAAAATAAAAAAACCCGATTGTAAACTGGAAACTTTTTTAAAAAAAGCTAAACCTTACAACAATCATAGCAACATCTGCAACCTTTGTCAACAAGAGAAATTAACATTTCCAGACCTAAAACCTTTAAATCAGAGACCGGAAATTATGTCCCGTTGTATTCATACTAAAAAAAATTACTTTTCAGTTCATTTGAAGTGGGATAAAAAGAACGTATGCATATTTCATTTACCCCCCCCCCCACCAATACATTTTCAATACACTTGATTTTCTCCTCCTCCTTCTCCTCACCTACCACACCTCACGTTGTGGGCGTATTTATTTATTTTTTAAATATAGCGTTCATAAATTTTTATTTTTAAAATAAATAAAGTGTTAGGAAATCAATTGGCCTAAATTGCCTGAAGATACCAAAAGGTTGAAAATAAAGTAGCGGAATCGACAGATTTCCAAAATTCTCTATATATAAAAGCTCTACATGCTAAATTTCTATCTTTTTATATGTGAATATATATATGTGTGTGTGTGTGTGTGTGTGTGTGTGTAAGCAAATATATATATGGATATAGATCCGACAGTATGAAGAAAAATATACTGAAAAAACAAACAAAAATCCTAATATGCGATTATGCTGTTTTAATGTTTAATGTCAACGTCGGACGTTTCTGTCTAATAGACCATCTTCAGGACATATTCATAAAACATAATTAACATAGACCATATACAATTAAACATGAAAAAGACGATGGACATAAAAGCAATACCAAGCATTAATCCTGCTAGAAAAGGCGAAATATTAAAGCCAGATCTAGTGTTCACAGTGTGTGAGATAGATATTATACCTGCTTCATAAATCCGCCTAAGCTTTTTATTATGAAAATATTTTAAAATCTTCACAGAATCAAAATCCAAAAACGTACATATAAGTTTTAGATCAAAATAAAATTCTTTTCGTTTTTCATTCAAAATACTCAAATTTTAGGAATACGTTTTCACAACATCGCCCACGTGACGACGACGTGATCATATTTAAACGGAACGCTGATCTTATAAAAGATTTCAGTTATCTGTTTGGATTGGTATTGCTTTTATTGCTTTTCTTCATATATATATATATATATATATATATATATATATATATATATATATATATATGTGTGTGTGTATTTCGGCTTTAAATAACCAACAAAACGTTCATGAACTGTCAAAAATTAATCAATCAAAATTTGCCTTGTTGAGCTGTGTTGAGTTACAGCACTAGAGAAACATTACTTTTGGCAGGTTAGTGTGTAAGATTTGCATAATGTACATTAAATATTGAAAGTACATTGTGAAATTTGAGAAATACAGGGAAAGAGGCAAGAGCAAAGGCATGAGGTAATGAATTATAGTGATAAAGAAATAAATAATCAGATCAAAATTTCATCATCTCTAAAATTAGATGAATAATCATAATCACCAGGTGACAAAGCTATATTTCGGCCAACCGATCAGAACGCTTTCACAGCCAGAATATAAGAAAAGAAATATACAATTAATAACAAAGAGACCAAAGTTTCACAATCTTTAAAAATTGATGTATATTTAAAATCGACAGGCCACAATCAGAAAGCTTTTACAACTAAGGATATAAGACCGCGAGCCAGTGCGATGTAGAGTGGCCTTTTTAAGCGGATGTGTATTTAAACGGATGGAAAAACAGCAACACCGAGAATCGATAAATAAATGTTGTCCATTTTCTGATGCTGCATTCATCGTAACATACCTAGAGACGAAATACATTTGCACGACTAGATGACATAAGATGCTACAGTTAAAATATACATCCCTTCTTTCTCCACCTTTTTAAGAAGCCCACTGATAGATTTGACAATAGACATACCTTCCTTCACCTACATTGTCAAGCAGTGGCTACTGCATTCGAATACATACATACACTCCTATATATAATTACAATATCTCCCTGATAATCCCCCGTATGTGCCCACAGATCATCCATAGAATAATATTACTGGTCAACACTCATAGATTTCTCACGGATTATATTAGTTGTATATTATTATTTTCTGAGAGTTGCTAAGTCCAGCATAATATCAGTTGAAGGTAAACCAGTTGAAGGTAAACATGAGAGTGTTTAGAAAGATTGCATTGCGTCATATTATGTTTTACTTTTTCCTTGTTTTTTTAAATTTATTTTAGTTCCTCAAATTCAGAACCCAAAAGCCACTCAAGTTAGAGATTTACTCAGTGAGTTTCTTGTAGGGAAAGAAGAAGTAAGAAATTCTTAATATGAAAATATATAGTTAGATAAGGGTTGATCCTGGATTCGAAGAGGTTATGGTTGTGAGGATCTGGAAAGCATCCTCCCGGGAGTCTGTTTTTAACATTTGCCATAGTGTCGATACGATAATATCTATTTCTTTGACAATCTTCATTAAAAATGTTTGCATTGAACTGGAATCGATTAACCTCATTTACTCCTATCCTATACACATACACAACACTCACACAACATGACCTTGTGTCAGACTTAGCTAAGCTAAGAATGTTTAGATGAGAATAAAAACAAAAATTATTCTGTTACATGTGCCGAGTGAACAGTGGTAGGTGGAGACAATCTTCTTACCTTGAAAATCAGCTTTTGAATTGCAGAGGCTTCAGCTGAGTTCGAATGCCGAAAAGAAAAATCTAATTATTATGAATAAAAGAAAGGCTGTATTTACATTAGTCGGACCATTGTCTTCATCTTTGTCGCCATATTTGTCACAACGTTTCGGTTGTTGTACGCTCCGGCCTTCTTCAGGTGGTTGGAATTTCTTCAGGTGGTTGGAAATATGGCGACAAAGATGAGGACAATGGTCCGACTAATGTAAATACTGTACATAATACCTCATCTCAGAAATATAGACAGACTCCAAAAGAAAGGCTTTCGGTCATGTCATGTTCAAACACCGGTTCTTGTACGATCACCAAAGTTAAACAACGTCGAGCCTGGTCAATACCTGAATGGGTGACCGCTTGGGAATACCAGGTGTTATAAGCCTGGGTTTGAGACTGGTTAATGGATAACGGCTCGGAACTGGAAATCGAGGAGTCGAGTTCCAATTGCCGTCGAGTTTGTTATATTTACTTACGTATAAATATCCTTGGGAAAGATACGAAACCGCCTATTTCCCCCCCAGATATGGGTTAATTAGTAAGACTTGTATCGGTAAATGATTATGATCTCCAACAAATATCTTATAATATAAAAATATTTTCTGGCTTTAAATAACCTGTAAGAGGTTGATAAGCCGTAAAAATACAAATCAATCATATAAAATATGTACTGTTGGTCATTTTAGATAAAATATCTACCGTTGGTCTTTTTACTTTAAAATATCTACTGTTGGTCATTTTACTATAATATATGTACTGTTGGTCATCTTACTATAAAATATCTACTGTTAGTCATTTTACTATAAAATATCTACCGTTGGTCATTTTACTATAAAATATCTACCGTTGGTCATTTTACTATAAAATATGTACTGTTGGTCAATTTACTATAAAATATGTACTGTTGGTCAATTTACTATAAAATATGTACTGTTGGTTATTTTAGTATAAAATATCTACTGCTGGTCATTTTACTATAAAATATCTACTGTTGGTCATTTTAGTATAAAATACGTACTGTTGGTCAATTTACTATAAAATATGTACTGCCGGTCATTTTACTATAAAATATCTACCGCTGGTCATTTTTTTAATATAAAAATGTATTACTGGTATTTTTACAAAAAGTTTGGTATAAGCAATATATAGAAGAGATTGAATTTATTTTCCAAATGAGTGTCTTCTTTACTTTTAAAAATAAATTTTGAAATCCTGGCTTTTTTTTTTCAGAATTCGAAACTATGTCTCTAGAACCAATGGGAAATTCGTCACAAGGTGACTAAAGAGTTATTCTTAATTTGTGATGTTTTTTCAATTCTTTAAACCTAAATTCTACTCTGCTATTTGACACATAGCTAGGAGGAGAAGAAAATGGTTCACTCTTTTCCGAAAGGCATTAGTAGAACATTGATTCCACTTTCCGCGCCAATATCCGCTACACGACCGTTAAAACTAAAACAAATTCAAGTAAGCATATTATGTACTTCTATTGGTGAAAAAGTGAGTTTCTCGCCGGGCCTCATTTTCTTTAGAACGTGTTGATTACGAGTTCTGTCCATGGTTTTCTCGGCATCTGTCTGTAGAATCACATCTGTTGCTTCAAGTTTCCTTTTCATCTGGAACTAAAATTATCTTTCGTAATTCCGATGCGTCTTTTGAGACTCTGGGACACTATTTTCGCCGTGTCTATCTACAGTAACCCACATAGAGGGAAATTCTGTATTTGCTCGATTCTCATGTCTTCAGTTCAAAGCTCACAACTTGGACAGCCTTTTTGGATGATGCCCATAACTTCTATCATTCTTGCGGTTAGTCCTTTCTTCTCGCTTTCTTTTGCTATCTCCTCTTTGAGTTTTTGTAGTTCTCTTTCTGAGTCTGCCAGAGTACATTATCATCTGCGTTGTGTTGTTAAGATTATTGTCACCGACATTAAATATTAATCGGTCCCTTAAAATCGTCTCTCTGTATCAGTACTATATAATAATTACCGTTGTGTATTTAATTATTTATGTCTTTCGTGTCACACTCTATCTGATTCTATTAACAAGTCTAAAGATCAATCGTTTTCTCGTGATGGTCTCTATGCAATAATGGGAATTTCATTTTATAGTTATTGAATTGGTAAGGAGTTTATTCTGTTATTAACTTAAGAATTATGGTTCATCAGAAAATTCAAATAAGAAAAATGTCAAATTTTCATGGATTCTTCTCGTATATAATACTATGACAATATGATACCATTATATATTTATTCTGTCATATTCCAACATTCTGATAGAAATAAATTTAACCAGCTCAGACGTCATGTTAAGATTAATTTGATATGACAGCCAAGAAAGTAGATTCAGATATTGTACAGAATTCTTTTTTACCTCTGCTTCCTTTCTCTATATGCTTTTAATGCTCACTATTCGTTCAAAAGTATCCCGTCATTTACTGTTAACTAAAATTGGCCTGCCTCGGGTAATGACGCTTTAGTTAGCTTCATAGTATTCCATAAGTAATCTCAACACACCTTCCGATTTTCAAAACAGTCAAAGTTTGTTTTTTTTTGGTATCGCCTGGGTGTGTTCTATTTAATCTTACCCACACCGTTGTGGGTAAGATTAAAAGCTAGCAGTCGTAAGGAGTCAAATCTGTTTTACTGGGGATTAACTCGACGTTTTTCTCCCCCCGCCAATCCAATAAAATCTCTCTGTATACTGACTAACTCTGGGTATTTAATGGCAGCAGTCCAAGTAACACTCTGGTCAAGTCCATTTATATGAAAAAGGGGAGGACCCCATAACACATACTTATTCTTGTATGACTTTCAGCACAACATTTGGGATGGCTATACTCTCTCCAAGTGAGCATGTTGCCTCAATAAAGCGTTGGTCTGACTTTAGTACTTAGCATGTCTTCATCTCACTGAAGCTTCTCGTAGAATCACAAACTGATAGTGCGTGAACTCCTGGTAGAGCTTTGGCCAATTCAGCTGGTAGGTCAGCATCGTCAATATTGTAGATAACTTCTTTGGATCCTGAAAGAAAGTCCAGTTCCAAGTTAACCAAGATCAATTCTTTGTAGTACAATGATAAAACCCCAACACCAGAGTCCACTGTAGTAATTCTAACCCGGTCAAATCCAAGAGAAGATGCATATTTTACGCACAAAAATATCTTTGTGTCTGCTTCTTCTTGAGCTAACATTAAATTCTGAAATCGATGACCTTTCTCCAATTGACGAGATACAAAACGCTCTGTCCTTGAAGGTTATCTATAGATCCTTACAACTTAACATTCTTACATGTTTTTCAGTTGGTTACAAGTCATCCATTATGAAGTTGATGAGATCTAATTTGTTTTGTGCATGCTGCAGAAATTGAGAAATTTTTGTATCGGCAACACCTGTTCCCTTCTTAGAACTGCCACCCTGATAGATCCATATGTTGACCGGTGACCCCTTTTCCAGGGACTTGACAGAACCAGGAAGATAGTGATCAATTGGAATAAAGTCGACCCTGCGACTTCTACTCAGCATCTTTCGAATTACATAGTCGGAGATTTCACCAAAAGTCTCAATTGTTTTTGGCCGCTTGTGAAATTCTTGGGGTGATTTTGCGGTACGCTTGCAGCTGAGGTATTTTTTCTGCGAGACAGGCAAACAGCTTCACAGTTTTTGTCATGGTACCATCAGGATGGCACTGTGACAGAAGATATGGTGTTAGCTCGAACTTCAGCACCTCTTCAAGATAAATGTTTCGGCTTCTTTGTATAACAAGCAAACATGCAAATGTATTCCGATCTGCTCTGAATGCATTCGAACCTTCATTTGTTCTCAACTTCTTTTCAATAATCATTTCATGAAAAGTAGACAATTTGTTCTTCTTGAGGGGCTCGTAAAATCAGTGGGTACCTCTAATAAGTCGCATCTCAACAAAAGATTTCAAACAGCTCGTTCCAATTTCTTCTACTCGTAGTAAGTCAACAAATGCTTCCTCACTTATTTTAGACCACTTCCTCACTTATTTTAGACCACTTCCTCACTTATTTTAGACTACTTCCTCAATTAATTGAGACCACTTCCTCACTTATTATAGACTACTTCCTCACTTATTTTAGACTACTTCCTCACTTATTTTAGACTACTTCATCACTTATTTTGGACTACTTCAAACGTTATTCTGTGGATGTCCATATATGAGTAGACGCTCTTTTCCATTCATTTTAAACAGTGTGAATTATGTTCACCGGTTCATCATATTCAAGAAAATAAATTAAGAGAACGAGCTCTCCAGTGAAATACGAACCTACCTCCCGCTTTATCTTTTTAAAATCAATTCACCTCAAGCAAAGCGATAAAGCCACGAAGACACGCCATTCTGGGTATGACGATAAACTACATCCGGCAGCTAGGCCTCTGATCGAGAGGCTTTGAGGAGCCTGAAACCATCTCTTAATTGCTGTTTTTTCCCAGGTCCACTCTGACCCAGCGTAGTAGCACCTGTAAGGGTCTCAGCTACGGGTAAATAGTTACTCCCCAACAAAACTGTGGTCAAAACACTGTGAAAGTATAAAATATTTTATAGTAAAAGTACCAGCAATACATTTTCCTAGTTAAGAAATTACGAGTAATATATTTCTGTAAGGAAAAAATAACCAGTAATTCATTTTTTTAAAAAATGAAATGACCAATGCTTCCAAGAAAATTAAATTTCGGCATTAAATAAACTAAATAATAAATACTCTAAGACACGAGGGACCACTGGAAGAGAAAGTGAATTTGAAGAAATTAGAAGGAACTACGATCACAGTCCTAAATAGTAAACAAGGGATAAACCTCTACCCCTGTCCGGGCAGGAGTGTGGAAACCACTGTCTGAGTGGCGTGCTTTAGGCTTTTCTGTCGGAGAGTACATTTGTTTTTTTTATTAACCGTCTTGAATACGTAGGCCGGAATAAACAATTCATACTGTAAAAAATCAAAAAAATCAGAGTGTCCAATTAAACAGGGGTTTTCTCAAAATAACGTTTGGAGTAGTAGCAAATAATGTCGAATTAAAAAAAAAAAACACATTGATTCCGGTCAATCGCAGGAAATTACAATCGTCATGGTAAACCAGAATGTCAAAGTCGAGAGGGAGCGAGATGGTGAAAGAGTTGGCAAATTCGAATTCGGATCCCGTGATGAAAGCAGCGTAAAGTGGGCCAAGTGGTGAACTGCAAAAGACCATGCGGTAGCCGACACCAGGTTTCAAGAACACCCAAATGTTCATGGACATGCAGGAGCCCAGGAGGAGAAACGAGAAACGACATCGATAAGATAACGATTAATTAGGATAATAAACACTTTAAAGTACCGGAAACGGGAGCAAACACCTGCTAGTGATATGTAATATATGGCTCACCATTTATATCAATATATGGCTCACCATTTATATTCGAGGATGCCCGTCTACTAGGCCGGCTAGCTAATCCATATGGCAGACGTTTGTTCAGGCTCATTTTATGCTTGTTCACCAGCCCACAAAGCCCACCTGAGCAGATCTTTATTACAGTTCCTGGGAGAGAAGCGTGTTATCTAGCGTCATCAATAATCTGAACAAGGCCGTTGAAACCCCCGATTACGATGACTTGTGCCTTAGTACTAGCGCTACCATCGGCGGACCCAAGGATTCCGTCTACCCAGTTTCACTCATAAGGCTTGGGGTGGTTTTCGGACACTTCTCAAATGTGCCGCACGCTGGGATGACTTTTTCCATCTAGAAGTCACCTTCCTGACAAATCGACGATAGTGAGATACGAACCCGGGTCTCATGGTCGGAAAGTAAACGTTCTAACCACTCGACAACGTGTCCATCATGGTGGTATGTAATGTCAGAAATGAAAGAAAATAACGCCAAAGCAGTAACCAGATTGCTGCACAACAGACTCTTGAATGACCCGAATTGCAAAGAGATGCATGCTGATAGAGTTCAAAGCAGATACAATAGATTAAATGAGAATGGTAATTCAAAGTAGAATACATTAAGAGAAGCTTCAGTGACATAAGCAAACGAGATCATATCAAGGAATACGAGGCATCAACATAAAGAAAAGAAGTGGTCAGGTTCTCCTGCTGTATATTTAGAGATTCTTGATAAAATCCAAAGAAGAATCTGCAATATTATTAATCCTAACCTGGCATCTCGGTTTCGGTCACTTTTCTATCGACATAATATAGCTTCCCTGTTTCTTTTTCTATAAATACTTTCATGGTAATTGTTCGGATGATTCTTATACTTTATGACTTTAAGTGCAGAACTAGATTGACAATAAGGTTTGATCAATTTACAATTGAATTGGCTAGATGGAACCGTAAGTTCTATGCTAACAGTTTCTTTTCTCTTACTTTTCGCTTGTGGAACTCCCTTCCGGCTCCATGCTTTCCAGCCAACTTTGATCTTCAAAAATGTAAATGTATTGTCAATCGTCATCTACCGTCTTCTTGATTATTTTTCTTTTATTCTTCTCGCCCCTTAATAATATTTATCTTTGTTGTTATTCTTTTACGCTCAGGAACCCTTTGTGTCTTAGTGGCTTTACTACCTTGCATGTGGTGAAATGATTATATATATATATATATATATGTATATATATAATGCCAAAGTATGGCACAGACACACGCACATATACACACACTAGAAACAAATACAGGAAAGCAAAAGAGGAATGACTCAACGAAAAAGAAATAGAAAGAAAATAACGAACGAGTAAGAACGAATAAAGAAAGCTGTGTTGCATCAGTCTTCGAAACCTGATAGCCTTGAAAATCAACATTCTTAAGGTATGCTCTTGTCGGGGCTCGAACACTGTTCATTATTCGCGAGAAAAACGCAATTACCTCAGCGACTTTGCAGTACCCCCACACAAAAATTTTGTAAATAAGAATATAGGTTAGATGATGGATAATACTTAGGAGTGGACACTGCTACTCGAGGTGAGGAGCACCTGCCGCCAATTACTTTCTGTTCATTGAAGAGAGAGGTGTGCGATAAGTGTCATCACGAATCTAGATCCCTCAAGTACGAACCGTTGCTTCATACTTGTACAAATGTGGAATATAAACAATGTTATTAAAACTGCGCGGCGTCATGGAGCAAATTCAAAGCAAGTTCGCATGAACGGACTTGGTTAATTACAGATTCCTTGAAAAGAATCTTTAATTAACTCTTCGAAGTGTCTTCATCATCATACCAACGTGGCAGGTAAAAGTGATGCAGAAGATTGCATTATAAAGCATAAGTTATGCCCTTCGAGGTGGTGTCATGGTTAGCAAGCTTGTCTTGCTAGAACAATTACGACTGAGTAGTGTGTTCGATCCTCACTGGGTGCCCCTTACTTTCGGCCTTGTGCCACATCCGGGCTACGCTTGGAAAATAAGGGTACCTCGAGGTGGCGTAATGGTTAGCAAGCTTGTCTTGCTAGAACAATTACGACTGAGTAGTGAGTTCGAACCTCACTGGGTGCCCCCATACTTTAGGCCTTGTGCCACATCCGGGCTACGCTTGGAAAATAAGAGCACCTCGAGATGGCGGAATGGTTAGCAAGCTTGTCTTGCTAGAACAATTGTGACTGAGTAATGAGTTCGATTCTCACTGGGTGCCCTTCATACTTTCGGCCTTCTGTCACATCCGGGCTACGCTTGGAAAATAAGTGTACCTCGAGGTGCTGTGATCGTTAGCAAGCTTGTCTCGCTAGAACAATTACGACTGAGTAGTGAGTTCGATCCTCACTGGGTGCCCCTTACTTTCGGCCCTATGCTTGGAAAATCACTATAAAGCATATGTAAGTATGCGTACATACATCTAAAGCAGAGGTTCTCAACCGGGGTCCATATGCACCCTGGGATCCATGTAACATTGCTGGGGGTCCACACACAAAAAATTAGCGAGTTCGGGGCCCACGGTAATATTTTAAAGGTTTATAGATCAATTTCCCTTCGAAACGGTTGTTACAACTGAGACATTGGCATTTCTACGCCATATTAAAATGCTAAAAACAGAAAAAACAGTTGTCAAAACTAGCAGAAGGCAAGATCAAGCGATATAATTTAGCGTCCCTTTTACTCTATCGGGTGTGTTGATTGTAAAATTTGAATAAAATAAGAATAAATAATGATTTAAAAATATGATTTATTATATAAATTAATTTAATATATTATTAATAAATAATTATATTCATTTTAAATATTAATAAAATATTAATATAAATTAATTAATCTTACTTATTATAAAACGCAGATTGTGTGTGTGTGTGTGTGTGTGTCTGTACGTTTATATATTGGATCGGATTTCCTACATTTTTCAACCGATTTCAACAAAACTTCACAGGACTATGTAAAATTACCTGGTGGTGGTTCTGACAGCGCCAAAAATTGGAAAAAACACAATTGTTTTTGCACAAAATCAATTTGAAAACACGATTAAGAGGCATCACGAGAATGAAAGGCGGACAACTCATATCGAGTTATACTTATTATAAAACCCAGGTTGTTTGTGTGTGTGTGTGTGTTCGTTTTTATATGGGAGTGAATTTCCTACATTTTTCAACCGATTTCAACAAAACTTTTTTTTTGGCAGGTAGTGTTTCTTATTGTCTTGCACACTTTTTTCTTTATTTTTACATTCAGAATGCTTTAAAAAATTCCATTTACAAGATAATTGTTTATAATAAAATTCTATTCAATCGGTAGACTCATAACGATTGAAAACAATGTTTTTGTTTGAGTTTGACCAATTCGTAAAAAAAAAAAAAAACTAATTAAGACATGCGTGTCCGTCAACCTTAAACAATAATCTTTGTCAATTTTATTTTTCAGTCTTTATGATGGTCGATACTTGATCTATCTCTTACTGTTACATCCCGGGCAACGTCGGGCTCTACTGCTAGTATAGTAATAAACTCAACATTGTAAAAGGGGTGGGGGATCCGACTGTCACTGACATCAATGGAGCCGAATATGTATAAAAAAACCTCGCAGAACAGTAGCAGACACAGGAATCTCATTGAATAAATCTGCACTTTTTAAAATTTATTAATTACTCATATATTTTGAAAACAGTTTATTATCAGTTATTTATAAATATTCATAGAATAATGTTAAATACATGTTTATTTTCATTAAATTAATTTTACTTCAAAATAAAGCATATACATTTACCATTTCTATAATACAATTACTAAAATCATCTATTAGTAAAAAAATAAAATAAGCTTTTTTTTTTCATCGAATGGTTATTGGGGTCCACAAAATTAAATGAAGACTAAAAGTGGTCCATAGTTAAAAAAAAATGGTTGTTGGACACCTTGCTCTCCAGTCAGTTATGTGCCATGCATGATACACGTTTAGGCGATCATGTATCTTTCGATACATGAGTGACGAGGCAGATTTTTTCCCGCAGAAGGTAGTTCTTTCTGCGGTAGACTAGTTGCCATCCAAGCCTGTAAAACCCGGTCTGTCCTGCTATTTATCCATAGCTGGGAGAAGAAGAAGAGGATTCATACTTTTTCCAAGGGTATAAGCACGTAAGTGAATGTAAAGGATTCGACTGGAATTCGAACTCGGCTCTCCGATTCCTCTATCCGAGCCGCTATCCATTACTTTCCACATTTCTTATTTTCTTCTCTTCCAATGTTTGTCTTCAACTCCCTGTTCTGCTATTGACGTAAACAAGCTCGTTGGTTAGTTTACTCGCTGCTTCCCTTTGACCGTCCTGTGGGTATCAAATTCTCCAAACCTTCTTTCCTCATTAAATGTCCAAGAAAATTTAACAGTCTCTCTCTGGTTCTAAGTATAAGCGTCTTTTTTTTATTTTCATTTTTTGAAAACCTTCGTTACTTACACCTTCCATGTTATCCTCAACATCCTTCTGTAGAGCAACATTCACCGGCATATACAAAGATTGGCATTACATATCTGTTCGTAAAACTTATGTCAACTCTACGTTGAAACACCGGTTCCCGTACGATCGCCGAAGTTAAGCAACTTTGAGGCTGGTCAGTACCTAGATGGGTGACCGCTTGGGAATACCATGTGTGGTAAGCATGGGTGTGTAGGTGGTGTAATGGATAATGACTCAAAATTTTGATTCGGAGAGCCGAGTTCCAATTCCAGTTGGGTTCGTTACAATCACTTACGGGCAAATACTCTTCGGAAAGGCATGAATCCACCTCTTCCTATACTTTGTAGCTCTTAGAAATGTTTCTGTTTTTAACTAAACCACCAACTCCCTGTTCTGTTATCTATATAAACAAGCTCGTTAGGTAGGTTAATCGCTGTTCCCCTCTGACCATATTGCCTTTTCTACGTCCTGTGAGTGTCAAATTCTCCAAGCCTTCTTTCCTCATTATGTGTCCTAGAAGTTTCAACTGTCGCTCACTGATTCTAAGCATAAGCAAAATTTTTGTTTCCGTTTTCATTAAAACTTCCTTGTTGGTTACATCCTCAGTCCAAGTTATTCTCAGTAGCCTTCTGTATAACCACATCTCTGTTGTCTGCTCTTCACTTGTGAAAAAAACTGACTTGTATAGCATCCGCTGGCATATACAAAGATTGATATTGCATAGTAATTCAGCACTCTTTTCTTTGATAAGATAATAAATAAATAAAAACTTTTATAAATTTAACATGTTTCGTTTTTATTTAAGCCTCGTCAAAATTTTGTGGGTAATGAATTAAAGAAGAGAATAATCTGGAGGTTTTAGTTTTACTGTAGTTTGTCTGTTTTTCATTGTCAGGCAGACCCCACGTGTCTCTCTTGTGGTTTTTTATGTATATTTTTTCTGTGGGTGTGTACATTTGGATTTTAGTGGGCGTTTTCGTGTCAGTCTATTAGTGCCAGTGGGCATAATTCCTGAAGATAGCTGTAGGATATGGACGTGTCTGTGAGTCTCTATTTAGTCTTGCGGAATTGGGATGATAATAGGCGCGTGCCTAGTGGCCATTTTTCTTTCTGTCTAGTAGTGTGTGTATTTTTGTTGAGGGATGTTTGAGGAGGCACCGTGGTGTAATCGATAGCGGTTCGAATCCCAGTCAAATACATTACATTCCTTTACGTGCTAATACCCTTGGGAAAGGCACGAATCCTCTTCTTCTCCACCCAGCTATGGGTAAATAGCAGGACAGACCGAGTTCTATAGCCTTGGATGACAATTGGTCTACCGCAGAAAGAAATGGCAGCCTACTGCAGGAAAAATCTGCCTCGTCAGTCATGTATCGAAATATACATGATCGCCTAAGCGTGTATCACGCAAAGCACATAACTGATATGAGAGTGAAAGACAGGTCATATCGGCCGCCTGTATTTTAGATTTTATGATGCGTTTTATGAAATTTGGTGATATGAAAAAATGTGTTTGGCGTGTGTTTATCAATAGAAAGATGTTTATTAATATCCCTTCTAAAGATTTTCTTCGTAGTAATTTTCTTCTTTGTTCCTGACGAAATTACAATTGCAATTTAAACCGATAAGTTTACAACGATATCATTAGACTTTTGATTTTGTTTCTTTTATGTGACATGCGCGGACGTGGCTCTCCACAATTTTCAATCCTTTTGTATATCACATCAAGTCTATAATGATTCAATAATTTCTCTGAATTTCTGGGATGAGAAATTATTTACATCATATACATTCGGTCTAATATCTTCGGCTTTCTTTTTATTATCACAACGTTTCGACCACTGTGCCACCCGCCCATCTTCAGGAGTATTTAGATCCGGTAACCTTCAGAGAATTTATAACTGAACCCTTTATTCAATCTAGTGAATAATAGCTATGTCAGGTAAAGCGTTGGTTTGAGAACATGGTGGTACAGTAATTGTGAGTTCAATCCCTCAACTGGGTAGTAAAGACGTAATGGAAACAGTACGACTGTGCAGTAGTAAAATAGAACAAAACGGGGGAAGTGGAACGAGAACAATCTACCCCAATAGACTGACCTCATGTAAGCGTCAAATTCTCCAAACCCTCTTTCCTCGTTGTATGTCCCATAAATTTCAACTCCTTCTGATTTGAGGTAAAACGTGACCTGTACGTTCCTATTTTTTCTTTAAATTGTCTTCCTTGTTTACATGTCCTTTCCATGATATTCTCAGTATCCTTCTGTAGAACAACATATGTATTGCATCCAGTTTTCTCTTTATCTGCAACGAAATTGTCCAGCATTCATTGACATAGAAATCGACTGATATTATATAGTTATTTTCTAACCGTAGCTTGGATGTGGCACAAGGCCGAAAGTATGGGGCACCTAGTGAGGATCGAAACTTATCACTTATCAGTTTCGCTAACCATTAACCTCGAGGTTCCTAGCTTGACAGGCTTGGGGGCATCTAGTAAGGATCGAACCATTACACCACGCTTGACAAACTTGTTAACCATTACACCACTGATGATTATATAACCGTTCAGTATTTTTTTCATTATTCTCCTTATATTTTCCTGTACGTGAATATTGTATTTTAGTTTTTGAAAGGCATCTTTTGCTAATTCTATCCAGCTTCGGATTTCAGTGTCACTTTTTCCGTCTTCTACTTATGATACTACAAGTAATATTTTACGATATATTTAATTTAAAATTGGTAATTTGCGGTGAAAGTGTGCAAAAGGAGCAGCCAGAATTGAGAGATATATATTGGAAACGTCAAATTAAATCAGGTAGACAAAATTTACTATCTTGATAGCGTAGCAAAATACAAAGGAAACTGTGTCACAAAAAATTCGAAAGATGAATTCTAGAAACTAAGCAAAGTATTAAGAAGAAAAACTTTACAAAAAAAAAGTGTTATGTTGCATTTAATCTCAGATTAAATATTAATTGAATATTTCAGAAGAGATTAAATATTAATCGAATATTTAATTACAGATGAAGACAGAGCGATAAAATTATCTGATCCGATGTCGAAAATGAAGAACACCTTTCAGAATATGTGAGAAACAAGGATCTACAGGAACAGTTATACTCACAATTAGAAGTATATCACTGAAATTTCTGGAAGGCATAATGGAGAATTTAACATTCACAGGACCTTTCAACCTCATTCTTACATACGATACGTTGCAAGCCTCTCGATACTTTGTCGCTGTTTTCAAAGAAAGAGTTCAGAAGAACTACATTCCTTAGTTCCACCAGTTCTACCCTTCACGGCTAAGACCCGCTATGACACGCCCATTGAGAGCGTACTACCATCATTCCCTTTGTATTCCTTTGGTGAAAAATAAATCCCACTCGAACAGCTTCTTCCGACGAACTACTACTTTGTATTAAATTGTACTAGATTGGCGGCAAGGTCTCATTAATTTACAGTTGAAATACTTAGATGTAAGTTCTATGTTAAGAGTTTCTTTTATCGTACTTTTCGCGGGTAGAACTCTCTTCTTGCTTCCTATTTAAACTTTGATCTTCAAAGATTTAATTGGTAACTCAATCATTATCTTATGGCTTCTTAATTCTTGTTTTTTTTTATTGTGTTATTAATAGTATATTTTTTCTCATATTCTCTAACACTCAACAACCCCTTTGTGTCTTAGTGGCTTTATTACCTTGCGTGGGGTGAAATGATAAAAAACCGATTCTACCTCTTACTCTGTAACCCTTTACCTTGAGTCACTCGTTAGTCCTTGTACAGGATGAACATGATTGTAGAAAAAAAACACATTGTTAGCGAAGCAGAGGGCAACGGTTAGTAACCAAATTTTAGGAGTTTCTGAGAATGAATAACAGAAGAAGCAAAAGTGGAATGGTAATAAGTCGAAAGTTACTTAGAAAAAACAAAAGACGGAACAGCCATGATCGTCCTAAAAGCCGTTACTACTGCAACTGGGTACCTCATTGGGTACCCTACAAGCGTAATCTTGTATTGTTTTAAGATAGTATAGCGAAGAAAACGGCGACTTACCTCGTCAAACCAAGCGACAGCACGTCGAGTGTATTCTACGACGGAAAATGTGGCTAAAAAGAAAATTACTTACCAAAAAAAAGGGCATGTATTCCGCGTGACATGTTGAAAATGGAATATTTGAATTAAAAAAAACAAGTCCGTCGCAGGAGCCGCTATAAAAGTATTTTGATATGCAAAATACTGAACATCCTCTCCCAGCTATCGACGAATGGAAAAAATGTTCGGCTGATAAAAGCAGTTGGTGTTCTCGAATCGGGGGAAAATTTTGGCGATTTTGGCTGCCGCGGGAGTTATTTTTCTGACTGGTTGCGTGCATTGTGATTTGTGAAATAGTACTTGCGAATCGAGTTTTCGGCATTTTCTTTCTGTCCCCAATGTTCGAGTCTGAACTTAGTGATTTATTCTCGGCGACGTGGAAATAATCTGCGTCAAACATTTCCTTTTCAATCCCAGATCGCTTACAGATAGCTTTAGCTACTAACTGAGGATCAGATGTAGACTAGTGAGTAATAGGTTAATGTGCACGTCATAATGAGCGTTAAGAATTCAAGCTCTGTTGTGTTCCCATATTTTCATCTAACTTTAGAGCGGTATTTTTCACTTTTTGTAGACAATCAACGTTGCACTATGTGTGAAAATGGGATAAATGCTGACATCAAAGATTCGATTCATACCTTTTACCAGTTTTTGAGAATTCACTTTTAAAGGTCGCCTGAAGAAATGTAGAGAAATACATAATTTTCAGATTTTCTTGCCTACAAACAGACTTTAGAATTTTTGCTTACATAGCGACTTTAGAATATTTGCTTACAAAACGACTTCAGAATTTTTTGCTTGCAGACTGACTTTAGAATTTTCTTATTTCAAGAATAAATCCAAATAAAGTTACTATCTTTTGTATTAGATACACTGAAAGGAAAATATATTCAAACCAGAATTCTAATTATGAATCACCACAATCAAAATATGCATTTTTTTAATACATTCGATAAGTAAAAACTGTAAAAGATTACAAAAAAAGCTACTCAATGAATAAAATCTGTTAGATCATAATCAATAAAAAACAAAAATAGATAAAGTGTATATAACACCATAATACTGCTGGCTACAAATTATATATTCTATTTTAAATTTGCTTT